AGATCACAAAAAAACCAATCCAACAAGCAGCTAGATGATGCAAAGAAGAACAAGATATGATTTATCAGAATGAATGAAAAATCAAGATAGCACAAAGTACTTCTAAAAAAACTGTTCACAGAAGTAATGGAAGAAAGCTTCCTAAGCATGGAAAGAGAATTTGACATACGGAGAAGCAAAACATACACACTCCATGTAGCCACGATCAGAAAAAACTACACCAAGGCATATAATGGTCAGCACTCCAGATTCAAAACAAGAACAGAACACTAAAAATTTATAGAAAAGAAACAAATCACCTATAAAGGAAAGCCCATCTGAATCACAGGAGACTTCTCAACATAAAGCCTTAAGTTAAGGAGAGCCTGGGATGGAGACTTTCAAATCCTAAAGGAAAACAACCTCCAACACATATTGATGCAACCCACAAAGGTATCTTTCAGAATTAATGGAGAAATATGATACTTTCATGATGAACACCTGAGGAAATTCATGAACACTAAACCAACAGTCCCAAAAGTTCTGATGGCTATTTTAGAAAAAGACAATAAAGACAACAATTTTATAAATCCCAACAGAATGAATCCATCAGGCAAAGGAAACAATTAAACAGAGTGGGGAAAAAGGGAATTAACAACAGGTAAATAATATGACAAGGATAAGTCAATACATACCAGTTATAGTTATCAGTGTAAATGGTATGCTCAGCTGCCTTATCTTTGACAAAGGGGCCATCTTTGTCAAACACCTCCAGTGGAAGAGAGCATGTTTAATAAATGGTCCTGGATGAACTGGCTTTCCATGTGACGAAGATTAAACCTAGACCCATATCTCTCATCATGTACTAAAATAAAACCAAAATGGATCAAACATGTAAATGTTAAAATAAGAACACTTAATCTGCTGGAATATAAAATAGGTAAAACTTTTGAAGACGTGGGGGCAGGCAAAGACTTTATGAACAAAATCCCAATTGTACAGGAAATATTTCAATCAACCACTGGAATCTCATCATATTAAAATGCTTTTGCACTGCAAAAGAAACCACCAACAAAATGATGAGACAATCCATAGAATGGGCAAAAACTGTAATGGCTATTCCTCAACAAAGCAATAATATCTATAATTATAAATAACTAAATGTAAAGACAATCCAAAAATAAGCATCTGAAATGAACAGACACTCATCAGATGAAGAAGTAGAAATGGCAAATAATTGTATGAAAAAATGATCAACATCACTGGTCATTCAAGAAATGCATATAAAAACGACACTGAGATTCCATCTCATTCCGGAAAGAATGGCTGTTAACAAGAAATCAGGTCTGGGGATTTAGTTCAGTGGTTCCTCCACCTGCCTTGCAAGCATGAGGTCCCGAGTTCAATCCCTGGTACAAAAAGGAAAGAAAGAAAGAAAGAAAGAAACCAATAACGGGGCCGGGGACTTAGCTCAGTTGTTCCGCCGCCTGACTTGCAAGTGTAAGGACCCAAGTTCGATCCCCAGTACCAAAAAAAAAAAAAAAGAAAAGAAAAGAAAGAAAGAAATGAAATCAACCAATAACAATACTGGTGAGGCAGTGGTGGGGTGGGGGACTCCTCTCTTCTGTTGGTAGGATTGTATATTGGCACAAGCCATATTGAAATCAGTAAGGAAATTGCTCAGAAAACTAAAATCAGAGGTTCCATTTGACTCAGCTAGTCCCTTTTTTATCTTCCCGAAAAAAATTAAAAGCATCATGTCCAACCATATATGCACACCCGTGTTTATAGCAGCACAATCTGAATAGCTGTATCTTTGAAACAGCCCAGATGTTCATCAGTGCATGGATGGATAGAGAAAATATGGTTTTATATATAATGGAGTACTACTCTGCCATAAATAAAGGTGAATTGGGACTGTTTTAGGTAAATGGATGCATCTTGAGACCATACATTTAAGTGAAATAAATCAGACATACATGTTTAAATGCTACACAGTATGTCTTGTATGAGAAACTGAAAACATACATAATTCCAAAACGGATGATACATATTGGAAAGTAGGAAGAAAATGTTCAAATGGGAAGGGAGGAGGATAGAGGAAGGGAAGAAAGGGAAAATGAAAAAACTAGAGAATAGGAAAAAATTGAAAGAAAGCTTTTTGTAAATAAGAAGGGTTGAAGGGCGCAGTAAGGGAATAAAAGAAAAAAGAAACATCAAGGTATATTATATACGCGTTCTAATTCCTTATGATGAATGTGATTATTATGTATGTAAAGAAGAGTACAAATAAAATCAGTTAAAACAATGAATTGTGCTGTTATAAACATGAGTATAAATGTGTCACTGCAATATAATGTCTTTAACTCTATTTGGAAGATACCTAGAAGGGGAATAGATGGCCCAAATGCAATTTCTATTTTTAGCTGTTCAAGTAATCTCCATATTGATTTACAAGATGGTTTTACTCAATTCCATTCCATTCCATTACAAAATATAAACATCATTCTTCACAGATTTTGGGAAAACTATCCTAAACTTCATGGGGAAACAGAAGAGATTCAGAGTACCAAAAGTGCGGCTGGGTGTGGTGGCACACGCTTGTAATCCCAACACTTGGGAGGCTGAGGCAGGAGGATTGCTGTGAGTTCGAGACCAACCTGGGCTACATCTATGAGTTCCTGGTCAGTCTCAGCTGCATAGTGAGACCCTGCCTCAATAAAAAAAAAAAAAAAAAAAAAAAAAAAAA